TTTTTAGGTCTTGCTTGCTTGCTTGGTTGGTTGGTTGGTTGAGTTTTGGAGTTAAAAACTCAAAATCCCCGCACTCTATAAATTGGATTGCTAAACAAAAGTCTTGCCCAAACTTGTCTAACAATAGTCTGCTCGTCATTTTATGGTAACGATTTAATAAACAATGGATGTGTCCATCACTGGCCCACCATTCCCGAAACAAAGACTTGTTCATACCGTTCAACAACAGTCTTATGACGTCAATTGGTCGTCATGGTAACCCGAAACAATACCTACCCGTCGTTTTATGCTAATATGCGATGAATAATTAATGTGCCCACCACTAGCCCACCGCTAGCCCACCACTGCCCGTCCCTTGCCCTTCCCTTGCCCGTCCCTTGCCCGTCCCTTGCCCGTCCAAAATCCGGATCGTGCGCAACATAACATACTACTAGCGGGATTCCTGTGTCGTGTACACGGACGGACGTACGGACGTACGGACGGAAGTGTCGTCAGCCAAGCCATGAAAAATCAACTCGATGGTTTACCATTTTTTCTTAAGTATGGTGCTCCGCAATTCTGAGAGAGGTCTTGCTCAAATATTAGCCTGTATTTACGTTTTAAATGAAGCATTTCGATTTTAAAGCCAGTAATAAAATTTCCGTGCGATTGTACATGTCCGTGAAACTCGTTGCGACTGCCTAATTACGTTTGCCAAAGTCACGACCGGAATTGGAATCGGAGCTCCAGATTGAGCTATTCTAGGTCTGATCAGTATGGCATAAACGCTCTGCATTTTTTGCAACTTATTTCCTCATAGACTCAGATACTAGTAAACCTTCCCAACCAGGTAAACCGGTCTACCCTGCTTCCAGGGTTTTTTATTTTTCATCCTGATTTCTCCCCTACAAAATAGACAAGTTGCGCAATGGTAGTCATGGGTCTTCAAGACATTACCCAAGAGATCTTTGCGGGCTTCTGCTATAGAGTTCTGGTCTACAGTGCGATCAATAAGCATGTACTAGCTGTCAATCAATGTCACCAGTTGCCAAGTGATTAAGAGAGGGCGGAGCCAGCCGATTACGTGACGTAAATTTATGTCTACGCCGGCATTCTCTTTTTCGTTGACTGCTGTAATTCAAGACAGCCGCACTAGAAATACTCTTAAACAAGGATTTAGAGCCAACTTCTAAGCGATTACTTCGAAGGAAATGTTTATAAGAATTATCAATGAATTTCATAGGCAAAAGCTTTTTTTTTTTGAACGAGCGAAGATCGGTAAGGAGAACACAATAGTTTCAAGAACCAGGCTTACAATAAAGCAATATCAAAAAATTCATTCAACATGACTTGTTATTCACTAGAACTTGACAATATAGGTATTCTTATAACCTATATTTAAAAAATGGTGATTCATTAAAAAATATTGCTAAATTATAAAATTTATTCATAGCTACACATGCATAAAACTGGTCTAAAATGGGAATTAGGTTCCCATTGCTTACTATCAATGCAATCACGCGACGTTTTGGAGTTGACTTGGGGCAAACAAGCGGTTGACTGATCGAGGGGCAACTAGCGGATGTTAGGCCAAACCTGTCAAAATAAGTCCTTAGACTATTGACTATTTCTACGACATGAAGATCAAAACAACATCCAAGATTCTACAAGCCATTAAAGTGGTAGTTTCCATCCCTGGAAATCGTACCATAAAAAAGTAGACACGTAATATAGTTTACTGTCCAAATTCGTTTTCGATACAAGAATGGAAAGATCTTGTATTTAGCCGGTAAAGTTTGGCCCTTTGAAAAATCTTTTAGCTAGATTTATTAAGCATTGTATTCAACCTCGCCCTCTGGTATCATATTCATATATTTATTTGTTTCCTTCCTTCCTTTCTAGTCCTTCTCTAGCTCCCTCTTTCCTCTTGTTTTCTTCAGTCCTGTTAATGTATTTAAAACTTTAATTAATTTCCTAAAAAAGAGTAAACACTAAAAAAGAGCTGAGTAAGTTATTGAGCGATTTTTGCTGCGCTTCTAGCGATCAAAAACCGTGTATAAATTTTTAGCCATCAAATATGAGATGAGTTTAAGTGACGAAATTTTCAAACGAATGCTACGCAATTGAGCAAGTCGTTTTTATCTAATGTCGCAGGAAAAAAGCCACGCAATAGCATTATAATTTCGAACATGTTCAAAACAAAGGAAATTCATCAGTGAAGTGATCGAAATTATTCATCGCCTTCGGCTCGTGATCGTATATCGTACATCGCCACTAATATTGTAAATAGTATGAAATATATATGAAAACATGTACTTAAAAGACAACAAAACTTAGGTGTCAGCCCGCTTTGGTGCATCTAAGAAAAAGGAAATGAAAAAGTAAAATAAAGATGTAATAATTAAAATTTATGGATTAAATGTTTACGCTCGAACCTAAAGCAAGTTGATCCTGCAAAGAAGGCTAGAAAAATGCCCAACAAACCGGTCATCAATAAGATGATCATCTGTATGGAAACATATCATTTATTATCATTTCTTAGTCGTTTGGCTGGTTTAACAACAAATCCGTTTCAATATACCCGTAGATAGTACTTTTAGATACGTTTCCACTGCGAAAACCATTTGGAGTTATATATCATAATGGAGATAGAAGATAAAGCGGATATTTTGTCCAAATAAATTTATGGTTTGACGAAGGACCTACAAATTACCTTTTCGCCCATATTAGAAACCAAGAAAGTTGCCTTGATCTTCATAACTCTTAGCCTAACCAAGACCACTCCGTACACGCGGCCTTTTGCTGACAAACTCCTAAGCCTAAGTTTTACTGTCGTCATGGAGCGTAGAGAGCTACCGAATCATTTTAAGTAGAATGAAGAGGGCGGCGGCACGCCAACGTACCTTTCGTGAATCCCATTATTCCTATCCTTGTCTTTCCTAATCCATATTTTATAACCAATCCTACCTCTATTCCTATTATCATTCTCATAGTTACTAAAATAATAGAGTGCAAACAATTAATCCGTGAAACACTAAGTTGTGCGAATTAAACAATAGAAAACAATGGAATTTGCATGAAATTGTGCTATTTTGTATTACTAGAGTGCACGCACTAAATCCGTGAACAATATTTAGCATTAATTAGTAGTAATTCATACAGAATCCTGTTTTCTATTGTTTGATTTCCACTATTTAGTACTAAAAAAATAGTATTTGATTCACGGGTTTAGTGCGTGTACTCTAATGTTTCATGCGGTTATATTGTTTGCAATCTAGAGCACTTTCCCATTCCATTCTTACTACAGATAGCGTCTTTTCAAATAGAAAGTTAAATGGCTGCACTGCCTAAAAGCGTAGCTTCAATTTGTTATCCACAGTGAGCCCAATTTAGATACGACTGCAAGGTGAAAATAAAATCGGGAAAAAATAGAACTGATCGAATCATTCTTTTTTTTTTTTTTTTTTTTTTTTGTTCGAATTGAGAATTTCCTCCATAATGAAAATTAGTGAAAAAAATTAAGGATGCTAGTTTTTTTTCTTGTAAAGTCTTCGACAACGTTTTCCATGTTCGAGATTTTCACTTTTTGCTGTTTAATTTTATTAAGATAACTACGTATACAGATCTAGATAATCCTATGCAATATTTCCGAATTTTTTTATATTAGTTGTAGATTGTGAGTTAAAAATAAAAGTTATCCTATTCCTGGCCATAGATAAAATGTTTTTATTCCTTTTATATAAGAAACGACCCCTTAGTTTAGTAATATTCTTCTATAGTGTTTCAAATTTATGAAGGAAGATCCTCTGTACTTAACAAATAAAGCAGCTTTTTCCGTGTTCCGTTCAGTAATAAAGCACGCAGGAAGTGGCGTAAACACGAAAGAAGTGTAAGGAGAAGAACACGCTCGCGGATGGCGTCAGCACTGTGCTCCGTTCACTAATAAAGCACAGTTTTCGACCAATCAGCTCGCGCGTACTATCCTAACTATATAATAAAGCATTCCCTAAAATTGCAACTCGTGCATAATGTACATCAAGGAATATAAAACGCGCGCACGTCTCCGTACTGTTATATTAACAAACTGGGAGCTGTGGAGCACGAGAACGGCTTAGCAAGCTCAAGTAAACCGTTTTCGATGGCCCATGATAACAATTGGAAAGGAATATTCTGCTCAAGTAAGCAGACGTTCTTGCTATCACAACGTTTCCTACGGTAGGAAACGTTGTGACAGGTGAGTAAGAACGTCTTCGTAGGAGGCTACGTCAAAATCGGCATATCCACATAACTTTATGGGCTTAAAGTTCCATAAGGAATGTTTTTTAGATAATGTGGTCAGGTGACCTTGATCCTCAATTCCTTGCACCCATTTAAAAAAAAAATTAAAATGGGGTGACCGTATCTGTACAAAAACTTGCATTTTACTTATTCCTATTAAAGGGTATATCGAACTGCCCTAACACCTGAGCTACCGTTGCTCATTTAGGGGATATTTGCCTATGTTTGATTGAACAAGGTCACGTGACCTATATAAACGAGCACTGGTAGTTCAGGTGTTAGGGCAAATTCATATACATCTTACAGGGAAAAGTGAAAATGTGCCGTATCATTTAATGTACAGATTATAACCGTCCCTCCATTTTAGTCCAAAGATTTGGATGCACTGGAGCGTGGATCAAAAATTTCTCAAACATTTTCATCCTATAATCATCCTCATAATGTTATGTGCCAATTCCAATTTTGGTAAGGATTGAGTAAATATAGGCAAAATAAGAAAAATAAAATGGTTCTAGCCATATGAATGACATAAATTAAAGAATGACGTAAACAAATTCTTCAAAATTTTCAAATTTTACAGGAAACCTGTAAAAAGGTCAGGCCATAATGGGCTTAAAAAATAATTGGAATAGTATCACGATATAGCATTTTACTCATTTCAAAACAAAGCTAGTGAGTGTATCTGAACATAAGCTAATTTCAAAAAGCCGGATTCATCAAGTGATCAATGACCTTCCAAAATACATTACACACTTAACCTCTCTAGATTTATTTAAGAAAACACTCAAAACACACCTTTTAAAACATGATTGATTAATAACTATATACTAATTTATATATATTCTAACTATTCAATGTCCCAGCCTATTGTTTTCTCTCTGTAATATATCATGGATTATTGCTGAGCGCAAAATCATACGACAAGTTATTTTTATTATTATTGTTAATGCTGTGGTCGGCTATTTTAGCATTACTTATAATATTGCTGTCTACTCAACGTAATATTATGTACTGTTTAATAAACGAGCAGTAGTGTTTTATTTGGTTTAGAATCACAAGGCGTAGCCGAGTGGTTTCAGACCTGATAAACCACGTTCTGCGAGTTTATTGAGCGACTTCAAAAACTTAGGTATAATACACAAACGAGGGAGATACTTCGCGAGCCTTTACTATTATACTTTTGATAGTCGTTTGTACTGCATTGTCATGCGCAGTGAAGTTTGTACGTCACTGCCATGGGGTAGGGTGCAAAAAGGGCTTCCACAAGTTGAAGACAACATGCCCAACTCAGGACAGGGGCACTAGATGGTGAGGCTCTAAGTCTTCATCTAAACGTGGATGCTCCCCCATGATAAGGTCGTCGTATTTTTTTACATAAAGATTACTAATGACGATAAGACTTTATATATAAAGAATATTGATAAGGATGAGACTTTATATAAAGTCTTATTAGTATGCTTTATAAGATGAATACTAATGAAGAGACCTTCATTGGTTTTAACGGTCTATTCACGTGACATGTTGGTCGCTCTAATTGGTTAAAATGCTCATTAATCATTCATACGTTTTTGAAAAATTAATAATGTGTGTGCTGACATTGCTGAAAGCATTATAGATATTAATTTGAGTAGAAAGCAATATTAGTATTAATGAAGTGTCCTTTATGGATGATGATGGTCTGTAACATGGTTAGTAAGTGCATAAAAGAAAACAATGCGGGCCTGAGCAATAAATAGTAATTATAGTGAAATATACACTACCGGTAATAAAACATTGTTGCTACACTTCTTATGTTCACATATCATCGGCAACAAGACTGTTTGATAGAAACTTAGCAAATATACTGTTCTGCTTTACTGTCAGTACCCGGGGATCATTGTGTTCAACGACCTGACCGTCTTCAAGGACGACAACCGTGTCATAATCTACAATGGTGTTGATTCGATGAGCAATAGTCAGCACAGTACACTTAGTAAACTTGTTTCGTATGGTTTGCTGTATCATTTGGTCTGTTTGATAGTCAATATTAGCCGTGGCCTCATCCAGTACAAGTATTTGACACTTCTGTAGTAGCGCCCGAGCAAGACATAGGAGTTGTCTTTCTCCAGCGCTGAGACCTGACCCTCCTTCTCCTATTGGGTATTCCAACTGGCCATCTAGACTTTGCACTTTTTGCTTTAGTTGGACCTCATCGAGAGCGGTCCACAGTTGCAAATCTGTCAGGCTGTCAAATGGATCCAAGTTTTGCCTGAGGCTTCCGATAAACAAAACAGGATCTTGTGTAATGACAGCCATGGAACGTCGAGCAGCCTGTACTTGAATGGTGCCAAGATCAACGCCGTCAATATACACCCCACCTTCAGGATCCGGCATACGAAACAACGATGCCACGAGGGACGACTTGCCCGCTCCTGTTCGTCCTGCAATGCCTACTTTGTCAGCAGGTTTCACATCGAGGCTGATATCTTTAAGAACACGAGGCCCGCCTTCAAAGTAGATTAAAGAGACATTGCGTAAACTCAGAGCCCCGTTCGTAGGCCAGTCCTCAGGTGGCTGTGCGTTCCTGTTGTATCCTGGTTCTTCAGGTAAGTTGGTGTAGCTCAAGACTCTCTCAACTGACGTCATTTGGTTTTCTATCTCAGGAATCTGCATGAGCGCATATGCAACCGAGGACTCAAGGCCAAGTGCTAGACTAAGCAACATTGCAGCCAAAGCTAATGATAAAAATGTGAAAGCCCGTCAGTACATAAGGATTGCATGATAGTGAGGGAGCCGGTTGTAATTGGAATGGTGTGCTCTCGCTGAAAGTTGAATTAAAACGAAACTGTTCGCATTTAATTTTTAATTTGGATTAAAAATTCACATTATATGTGAAAAGCCCTTCATCTACCTGAGTATGACATATATATGTTACTGACTCTTACCTTTGTCCATGTTAGTGGCCCAGACGATTCCAGCAATCGCAGTAAGAAGTGTTGCAAACAACAAGTCGGTGTTGATATTAAACCACAGTTTAGCTGCTATGGTCACATAAAGAATTTTAGAGTATTCGTCTTGAAGCCTACAATTTAAAACATTTTATAAACGTTTTATTGAACGAAGGAAAAAACAGGAAAACAAAAACAAAAAAAAAACAAAACAATTGCCTTCTTAAATCGGACTGATAACCAAGCTCGTCGGTCCTTAATTAATACTCGTAACGATACCATACTGTGAGCTTATAATAACAATACAGGGGCGGAGATTCCCTTGCCCCCCAGCTTACACTTAAATAAAACAAGAATGCCAATAGTATTCTATGATTGGCAAGCGAAAATGCCTCCCAATAAAGTGAATAGTGAGTTATGGGAAAAAATCGAATCGCGTTGTACAGCTAGACCCTATGTCTACATAAAAGGGAGTAACATTCTGGCTTAGGGGTTTCCATTCCCTCAGTAACCAAACCCAACACCCGGAACTCAGAACTTATTCTCGAAAATTCGTTAGTAGAAACACCCGTACTTAAAGGGACTCTGAGGTGCCAGACACATCATAGCTTAAAATGTACATCAAACCTTGTTGATTTTGAAAATCGAAATGAAAATT